GGGGGGGGGGGAAGGGGGAGGATGGTCCGGGGGCGGCTTGGCCCAGAGCCCACCACCCCCGACAATGAGGGGCTGCTCATCACCGTGACTGACAGGGCTGACCACCAATCACTGGTCCCACTCACCAACTATGGGGCGGAGTTTACAGCCACAGGCCCCGCCCCACAGGTGACTGTCACGTCAACCTTCTGCCCTCACAATATCGCCCTCGTCATATAACAAGCCCATCATATACATCGCTCAAAGTTCCTCATAATTCCCTTAATATTATGTCCCTTTCAATCCCCTCACAATATCCCTCAGTACCCCTGTCATATCTCTCACAAACCCACTCATGATCCCGAAATCCCGCTACATTCCCTCTCTATCCCAAACCCCACACCCAAAATGACTGTAAATTGAGTTGGGGGGGGGGGGAAGGAAAAGAGTGAAAATGCGATGAGACCAGATTGTCCTCATTCAGTCAGGGAGGGTAAGCATGCAGCAGGCAGTTAAGGCAGCAATGGTATGTTGGCCTTCATTGCAAGAAGATTTGAGTACAGGAACATCTTCCTGCAATTATACAGGGCCTTGGCAAAACCACACCTAGAACAGTGTGCGCAGTTTTGGTCTCCATACCAAAAGGATGTTCTTGCTATAAAAGAAATGCAACAAAGGTTTATCAGACTGATTCCTAGGATTGACTCAGTTAGGATTGTATTCATTGGAATTTTGAAGAACAAAAGGAGGTTTGCATGGAAACCTATAAAATTCTAACAGGACTACAGCGTGTCAATGCAGGAAACATGTTAATGATGATGGGAATGTCCAGAACCAGGGGTCACAATTTGAAGATGCAGGTTAAACCATTTAGGACTAAATGAGGAGAAATTCCTGTAAACAAGAGAGTGATCCTCTGAACTATCTACCACAAACAAGTTGTAAGTAAAACATTAAATGTTTTCAATGAGTTTGGATATAACACTTGGGGTTAAAGGGATCAAAGGGTGTGGGGTGAAAGCAGAGATGGGGTACAGAGTTGAATGATCAGCCTTGATCATATTGAACTTGCTGTGCTATTCAAAAGGGCTAAATGGCCTTCTATCGCTACCATCCCTCAAACCCACTCACAATCCCAGAGGGTGGGTTGAGGCTCAGTTGGATAACAATATTGCAGGAGGTTGGGACAATAATCCTGACAGATATTTAGCCAGTTGTTAAAGTTTGTAGGAGTGAGGTTTAAAACTGGACAGTAGCAAGTGATTTACATCAATAGAGATGTAAGCAACTGCAAAAACTAGGAGCAGTCCCATAGACAGTCATGGGACTAGGAATTGCAGGAACCTGGGCCAGTGCTCCAGGCCACAGGTTCAAATCCCACAAACATTTTAAAAGTAAAAACAGGAACTGAAAACTACAGCTTGTTGCTTGAGGAAACCCCAGCCTATACAACTCTAGGCCTGAACTGCTTTGTGAATGACCTGACCAAAGACTCACCCACATCACCTGACAGTGTTAAACAACTGAAATTAATTTAATCAGTTTAAGTATCCTCCTTCAATAACGTTCAGAAGTTTCAAATCCCAAACTCACTGGCTTGGATCATTATTAATTAGACATATATGATACATGTATTAAGAACCAAAATACCAGGAGTCCAGGGCACAAGTGGAAAATTTGCTGATATGAAACTTGACTTTCCTTTTTCTAAAGGGGAATAATTCAAATAGAAGAGACCCGAAGTATTCAAAACTCATGAGGTTGTGACAATAAATCATGAGAATCTGTTGCCACTCACAAAAGTGAAGGCACAGTTTAAAAATTAAACAAAAAGCAGCAAATGCAGTGGAGAAATATTCATGCAATGAAAGCAAGTTCTGGAATGCAAGAGTTGAGAATGTGACAATTGAGGCATTTTAAGAGAAACAATTTAGTTCCTTTCTTAAAGAAGGATGCATAGGTGACAGGCAAAAAACAAAGGCACAGTGAGGTTCTTGAGTCAATAATGCTTCAAATGGTTTCTCACAAAAACAGAAGTTACTGAAAAAGCTCAGCAAGTCTGGCAGCATCCATGAAGAGAAAAAAAAAGTGTTAAATGTTTCAGGTCCAATGACCCTGTTTCTGTGCTGTAAAAATTGTGACATTACCGCTAATCTACCTCCTGTTTTCCATCCTCTAATATTACTGGGTTACAGCTTCCAATCATGATCCATTAATTGAACATCACATCACAACTCATTAAAACATAGTTGTTACAGTCACAGAGTCTTTTAGACAACTACACAAAACATTACCTAGCCCCCCCCCCCGCAAAACACAATGATGCACCAGGAATCTGCAAATACTCCATTATCTATTTTCAAAGTTAAATTTGTTCTGTTGTAATTTGTTACAATTCCCACTTTTATCATAGTCAGATCTGTGCAGTATAGAAACAGACCTTTTGGTCTAACTCTATATCCTAAATTAATCTATCCCATTTGCCAGCATTTGCCCCTTGGCCCTTAATCCTGCCTATTCATCTACCCATCCAGCTGCCTTTTAAGTTATACCAGCCCCCACCACTTCCTCTGGCAGTTCATTCCTTACACACACCATGGTCTCAGCACTTTAACTTATCCTGGAGTCAAGGTGATGATAGGGACACCCACAACATTGTTCAAGGACATGCCAGGATTTTGACTGAGCAACAATGCCATGTTTCCTAAATCAGTATGTTGAGTGGCTTGAAGGGAAACTGGTGTTCCATGTCTCTGTTGCCTTTGCCCTCCTTGAGGGCTTGTAGATTTGGTGGTGTATTTCTGCACTGCATCATGTGCATGGTGCTGCTATTGATAGTTGGTACTGGAGGAGTGGATCCTTGAGAATGTGGTACCAATCAAGTGGTCATTATTCCATCACAATTCCTGCTGTGTGCCTTTAGATGATGGCCAGGCTTTGGGGGAGTCAGATGGAGAGAGTTACTTCTTGTAACTTTTCCTGGCCTCTGATCTGTAACCATTGTATTTATATGGCTAGTTAGCGGTCACCTCCATTAAGTGTAGGGATAGTGAAACTTAAAAAAAATAAAAAAGGTTAAGGAGAATATTTCAGCTAGAGATTTTAAAAGACTTGTTTGGGTTTAGATTACATAGGCATATGAGAAAAGAAGATTTATTTTGTCATTCATTCAGTACAAAAAGGGAGGTTTCAAGACAAAGCTATAAAAAGTGAGAAACAAGTATGTTCTGCATTTGTTGCCACAAGGAACCTTCCAAAACAATTTTTGACAGTTCATTTCAACCATAGATTTGATTTGACTGTTCTAGAAGCAGTGGACACCATCACAGATCGAATCCAATCCATCAAACTTCATTTATTTCCACTTGTCTGTAATAGTAGCAGTGAGCCCAACAAGCAAGAAAAACATGGTTACAGTCAGGAGCACTGTGATCACAATCATAGCACCTGATCGCATTCCAACATTCCACACCTGGATAGAGTTATAGGTTGGAGGGTCATCTGCAGGAAAAAAATGAACAAGATTAAAATTGGTGCTGTGGTTTCAGAGTCTGTTTGTCAGAAGGAACACTTAAATCCTATTTTATTAAATATGTTTTGTTTTATTCAACCTTCAAATTAGGTAGCTTGAGCATGGGGTAAAAAAAGGATATGGCAAGTCGAGTATGTGGAAAGAGGTGAAACTGTCCATTTTGGCAGGAAGTGGACAAATACATTTTATCTTGAGATATTTTACATGTCCTTGTGCATGGGATTGAAAAATATTAGCAGGGGGGTACAGCAAGTTAGGAGCACTAATAGAATGTTTGCATTTATTATGGAGGGGCTTTGAATATAAAGACAGTTTTAGTTATGCAAGGCATTAGTGAGACCTCCCTAACAACATTGTGTGTCAACCCACAGCAGGAGGACTCCAGTGGCTCAAGAAGGCAGCTCACCACCACCTTCAAGGGCAGCTAGGGATGGGCAAGAAATGCTAGCCAGCCAGTGACCCCCACATCCCACAAGTGATTAGAAAAACCCTCATCTGGAATATGTGTCAGTTACTATTTGAAAAAGTACATACATTGGAAGTAGCTCAGAATGTTAGACAAGTGGGGCTGTGTCTTTGACAGAGGACCCTAGAGGGGTCTACACACCACACATGGAGATGGGGTGTAATGGGAAGGTCATGAGTATTTGAAATTCTTGAGGGGGAGGGGTTGGGCAAGGTGGGTGAAAGCAGAGTCTTTGCCTTAAAAATCAAAAGTAGTGAATGAGTTCTTGAGGGGTGACAGGTTAGAAGGCAGTAAGTTTGATTAGCCATGACCTTATCTGAAATGAGAGAAGGCTCAAGGTCCTGAATGGCCTACTTGTGATTGATAGACATGTCCATAAATTGAAGACAAGGGGAAGATTTGTATTTGGGTTAAAGGGCAAGTGTTCAGTGGAAAGAACATTGGACCTAAAAAAAAAGTGTAAAAGGAGACCATTTGGCCCAGCTGTCCACAACCCAGACACCTAGATGCCCTCACCAATCCTATCTTCATCCACAGTTCGTAGCCCTGCAGCTTACAGCGCTTAAGGTGGAGATCAGAGTACCAAGAAAAAAAAAAATTAAGGTCTCTGCCTGTGCCAACTCAGGCAGTGAATTTCAGGTACCCACCACCTTCTGTAAGAGGTAGTTTTTCCCCCCCGCTCATCCATCTAATCCTTTGATTCTTTGCTTGAATCCATGACTCCTGGTTTCTGAAGTTTGCCAAGGGAAACAGGTTCCTCCTGTCTACTCTACCACTCAGTTTTGTATACTTCAATCATGCCAGCCCTCAACATTTTGTCAAAGGAAAACCAACCCCAACTTCTCCTCAGAATTCTCCAGCTATGAAGACATTTCAGTCAGTGTTCTTTGCACTGAGTCATTTACACCTTCCTGTAATTCAAAGACCAGATCTGCACAATACTCTAGTTATGGCCTCACCAGCATCTTCACGACAACCATATATCCCTATGTTTGTATTCTGCATCTGACAATGGAGAACATTCCATATGCTTTTAAAGGAGCAACCTACTTGTTCTGCTTTTAGGTACTTGTGTATTTGCCAAGATCTCATGCCATCTGTGCCTCAGTACATTGCCATTTATCATATTCCTTTTACTATTTGGCCTCCCTAAACACATTACCGCACTTAATTGAAGTCCATCTGCCACTTACCCATCTGTCACTTGACCCTAAAAGTCAAATCATGCCAACATGTGACTCAATTGCAAGTACCAAAATTTCAACTTGCCTCGAGTAGTTATAGCATCAGACCATGGCGTCATCACAAGGGGTTTTGCAGAGGAATCCAAAAGGACATAGCGAATCCTTAAGAAAAAAGTGGTCTTTCAGTAACAGCCCAATAAAATGGTTTAAATTTCTAAAGTCTAGGAATAACAAATGCTATGACAAAAAGAATATAGGAAGGAAGGACTATAGATAGATTACAGGAAGAATGTGATTGCATGAGAGGGTGCAGAGATCTACCAGGATGCTGCTGGGCTGGAGGGAGTGAAGTCAGGGGAAACAAAACATGTTCCTTCTCTTGGGCCAGCAAAGACTGAAGGTTATGGATAGGAAAGCACTCATTAGAAGTGCCAATAACCAGAGTTTTTGAAGAGTGCAGAAGCCAAGAGGGTGACAGAAGATTGCCTGAAAATAAAACAGTTCCAAATTTTTGTAGACTTTAAGCCTAAAAATATTCACTTGTTTCCATAGCCTCAAGGGCTATGGGCCTAATATTGAGAATGGCGAGTTACTAGAGTCAGATCTTTGATTAGCATAGACCTGATTGGCACAGCAGCCTCTTATGCTCCTAGGCATGTGGATCAAGTCAAAAGTTCTGTCGGTCGTCTTCAATCTTGTGGCAGTGGTAGTACCTTGCCTGTAGGTTGAACGATCCAGATTCAAAGTTCCACCTGCTCTAGGAGGTGTGTAATATCTTCTCTGAAGAAGTGGATTAGAAACAAACAAACATAGGTCAAGAATAAAGTGACCAATAAGGGATGATTTGGTGATGGGGCAAAAAACCAAAAAATAGTATTGGGGCCTATTAGGCTGAACCTCTACAAAGGAGAGAAGCATCAGATATAGTTCAATCCACTGGCCCTAGAAGCTATTAGGAAGCCCCATCTCTTCAGGGAGCACCTCCTGGCCACAATAGGGGGCAGGGAAGCATTGGGCCTTTGTACCCATTTTTACCTGCCATATCCAGTGTCTGCCATGGTGATAAAGATCTAAAATTCTAACTTTTATTTTTAAGACTACTGATGGCAGAAAAATACTCCCATGTGATTTAAAGTTTTTGAATGGGTCAATATGCTCAAATAAGCTTCCATCTGCAAGACTTGCCAGCTAAGCATCAAATCAAACTCCTGCTGTAAGAGGTTTAACTTTTGAATCTCAACAAGCAGTCAAAGTAGCAATACTCTGAAGTTGGCAAAGCTTCATTCAAATTGAATGGCCAGATGGTTTGTTAAACGCTAGGAATGGATGGCCTGTCAAGAGTAATCCAACAGGGTTAATACCTGAACAGGGGGAAACTGGTTTCTTTCACCCCTTCCTCCCTCAGTTGGACTTGTAGGGAATTTCAGATCATGATTTTAAAAAATGTTGATGTGGAAAACATCTAGGTCAACTCCATTTCACTAGTTTCATGCTCTGGTTAGGTCAAATCAGCATGTCTTATTTGACATTAGAATTAATATTAGGCAGACCCATTAAGTTCAGTATTCTCACCTGAGAGAATAGCATCCTTCCTCTTTTGTTTTAGTGAAAGTATGGATTTGTTGGAATGGGACAGGACATTCTTTGGAGCCTGCTCCTACTTAGGAGTGGTTAAATTTTCCTGACTGAGGAATCAAGCCTCACCTCAAACAACAATATGTAGCCAGTTTGCTTGCTGCAGAATTTAAAGAAATTTTCTAGTACAATCTCACCCTTCAATCCAACCAGTGTTGAAGCAGGAGAAAAAAACCACTTACTCCCATCATTGGTATAGACTGATCATCAGAACTCCATTTCCCTCTCTAGTCCAGCTTCCCCTTTAGACACATCAGCATTTTCTTCAAAGTGGTAAGAAGTTCAAATTCCGAATATTCAGTTTTTAAAAAAAACTCTTCGAACTTCAGTTTCTTGGCAACTAGCTATTTCTCTTGTGACAGCATAGCAATCTCTCTAGCCACTAAAACCCTTTCTAAATTTAAACTTAATAAGCAAATTAAGAAACATTGCTCCATTTTGGTAGCATATTTTAGGATTAGTTTTATGGAATTTAGTGCAGTATCAGTTTACAGTATGTTCATTTTTGGTTGGACACCTACTTGAAACTCTGTCCTGGTAGGACGTGTTCAATACAGCTGCCATTCTTGCAAGCAATACTTGGTCCCATTCGATAGGCAGGTTCTGTTGGCTCAGGAGAGTAGGGAGTGCAAGGAGGTATGGAGTACTTCCGGGTCAAAACAAAAGTGCCGTTATCTGCCAAATAAAGAAACTCAGTAGATGCTGAAAATCTGAAATCAAGTAAAAGCTGCTGAGATTCTGCAGGTTTGGCAGCATCTTTGCTTGTTTTTGGGGTGGGGAAAAAAGGCAGGGTGCAGGGAAGGGAGGGCAATGGTTAACATTCAGCCCAATATCTTAAGGAAAATAATGACCTTGGGGCTCAAAAACAACTCTCCAAGAGATGCTGCCAGTCCTGTCAAGTTTCTCCAGCCTTGTCTCCAATTTCAAAACAAGGTTGGGAATTTAAGCATCCCACATTTAATTTTTGTCTGCAGATCTTGAACTAAAACAAATAGTAACAGATTACTCCAGCAGCAGTCTATGATAACTTAGCAATAGAAAGGGATCCCATACACATAGGTGAAGAGAATGGAATGTTGGCAATAATCTGGCAAGTAGGAAAGTTGTCCCATTTTGGACAGAAAAATAAAATCTATATTTTCTAAATGGAGACAGATTATAGAATTGCAGTGCAGAGAGCTGGGTGTCTTCGATTGTCAGCCGACAAGTTTATTATGTTGACACAGCAATTAACTAGGGAACCAATACAATCTTCTCATTTGAGGGGTGTTTGGAATACAAGAGCAATAAATAGTTGTGCTTCAGTTATACAGGGCATTGGTGAGACTGACTAATGCTCCAGATATAGTCTCATTACTTAAGGACATTGCATTGGAAGTAGTTTGGAGAAGGTTTACTAGATAAACTGAAATGAGCAGGTTGACTCAAGGGATAGGGCAGACTGGCTAGGTGTGTACCTGCTGGCATTGAGTAAGGGGCAACTTGAAGCAAAAATAAAGGGGCCTTGACACGTTGGATATTGTAAAGATGTTGCCTCTTGAAGAACGAGTCTAGAGCTGGGCAGAGTTACTCATTTAAAAAAATAGCTTAAGTTAAGATATTTCCCCAACCCCAGAGTGTCATGAGTCTTAAAATGATGGAGGCAGAGTTTGAGTATTTTTAGGTCAGAATTGGATAGACTCTTAATTGGCAAAAGGATGAAAGGGTCTTGGAATAGGATGGAAGTGTGAATTGGGTTACAGACAGATCAGCCACAATCTTAATGGCACGGCAAGTTTGATGGACCGAATGACCTATTCTAGTTCCTGTTGGCTAGGTTGTACAGGCATCATTTTTAAAACCATATCATCCAAAATAACTTTTGGAAAATTCTTCCCCTTTCATAAGCTTGGTGCTGTCTCCAATTCTTAAAAAAAAATCATGTTCATTGCTAAATAACAAAAAAGAAACTTGTGCTCAGAATTAGAGAATTAATTAAGAATTGTTGGGTACAGTGAGATTCAGCCATGTGTCTCAAACATTTCTGCACTTTCATTACTGCAAAGTTCATACTTTGACAAAATATTTCAGTTTACAGTATTCTTACCTTCTCTCAATACCTCAACAGTAATGGACAAGGACGATCGATCAGTGGTGCTCTGGCTAGATGTCTGTGCAGCCCACATCTCAAACAGACAGTGAGCAGGTTGTAGCCAGACCAATGTAGCAAGTCGTGATAAGTCACCATTGCAAGGCACAATATTATAATCTGGAAATAAAGAGTGCAGCTCAAAATAAAGGTGGGGAAGCTGTTGAGGCCAAGTGCTAATAAAACAGTTGCACAAAGTCTGCTTTAGCTAAAGATGGAAACACTGCTAAACAAGAACATGGATCATGAAGCAAGTGTCATTTAAATCCTTATTTTCTAAAAATATAACCAAAACATTAATAGTTGATAAAGTGGTCTTGGGTTCATGACAGGGGCATGACATTCAGTCCATCCCACCATTTAATAGAATAACTTCAATTTCTTTTACTCAACCAATAGCCATTGGTGAACAAGTTGTTTGCTACTTGAAAACATATGTAAAAGTTGACCTACAGCCCTCAGCAAAAACTCTCAACCTTGCAAATAAATCTTGTCTCAGATCAAAATGGCAACCCCTCATTCTTTAAAATTTTAAACCTTAACCAGGGAAGCATCTGCATTTACTGTTATGCATTTTGTAGGCCATGGGTTATGATCCTTGTAGAGATTACTAACATTCAAAGGGAAATGGAAAGCCCTGCTATTTACTGAAAGGGCACAGATACAAAGTTCCATTTTAGTCATGTTCCAGACAAGGAAAGGGCAAACAGAAGTTAGTTTTTCCATACATGGACAGAAGGTGCTGATGTGTTTAGAGCATGTTCCCTTCCCTCTTCTGAAGGGACAGTACAGTGTTTCCTCCCCTGATGAAGGTATTAAAAACCAAACAAACAAATTAGAAATATGGTTTATTCATATACTTAAAATCAGAATTGATATAGGTAACATTGGTACAAAGAAAACATTTATAAAGTTAACTAAAAGCAAAGATTCTACTTTACCATTAAAGTATTTAGTTAAAAGGCTAGTGCCTGGTGTGAATTCTTCCTTATGGAGAACTATTATAGATATGCTTACCACACCAAAGCAAAGTTGACAAAAAGAGGTGCAGCAATAAGAGGCTAGTGTAGGGAAGAGACCTAGTCCATTTGTCATTTGACTACAGAGTGTTTCATTTAGAAAAAAAAAGACCTAACCAACCAACCAGATGGTACTTCCTTAAACATGGAAGAGATGCAGTGTTACCATCTGGTTAGGTTCTCCATTTGAAAACAAACAAACGTGATTTAAGAAAGCAGTTACAAAAATCTTTTCAAAAGACCAGATCAGGTTGAATGTTACTGAAGCCAATTTTTTTTTTTTTTTTTTAAAAAAAAAAAGGCTATTTCGCAGATGGTTCATGGCTATTGACAAATTTCACAAGTTCAATAGTGAATAATTTAGTTTCAAAGATTATGACTAAGTGAGCAATAAAACAATTAAGTACTAGATCAATCACCTGTAAACAGAACCTCACTGCAACACCATTCAGATCATAACATTATGTTTCTTTATTAAGAGCTTCTTACCCACAAGAAGCTGTGAATTACAGCAACAGACCATCAATAGGAAACCAGCCAACTTCTTTATAGACACTTGCATCATTACTGAACCTAAACAAAATGGTATAGGAGTGGGCTTTGACCCTCCTCAATTTATTCATCTCTGTCTATGATTAACCAGATTCACCTGTCAAAAGTAAATGAGCAGCAAACTACACATGAGATTTAATCAACACTGTTTAAAATAGGTGAATGCTGTCTTCCATTCACAGTTGGCACCAGGGTAATTGAAGTATTTTCTTGACTTCCATATCCAATATTGATCTTAGTACTCAAATCTGAGCCCAGTGGCTCTGGGTTCAAGTCCTACTCTTGGCTTGTTGGCAGCAGAAGGAAAGTTCCTGAAATGGCTTAAACAAATGATTAGCCACTGAATTAACATACAAAACTTCCTCACTGTTTCTAAAGGGGAAGCAGCTGTATGACAAATAAACCAAATATAAATTTTATCCACTTAATTTAGGTTTCAATGGTGGCCTTTTAAAAAGAGAAGGGTATTTATTACTCTGTTTAGTTGATAACAACAGCCTTTAAGTATCAAGATAAAAAGAAGTACACCGATTGTCTCTGCACAGAGTCGAGTGCTCTATTTACCTTTCCAACTCCATTTTGATTGAATTTCCTTGCTCCCTTATCTTTGGTTTTAATGCACTGCCCTCAGTGGGCTTTGAAGATGATTTGATTGATTGGAAACATTGGAGTGATTTTATTGCTGGCTAAAGCTGCCAGGTTCAAGTCCTACCTGATACAGAGGTGTGTCATAACATCTCTGTACAGGTTGATTAGAAAATATCTACCCTGTTCTACCATGACAAGTGGCCTGTTTAGATCTTACTCGGGGACCGTGTTTTTCCGAGAGTATTGAAGGGTCATCATCAAGGCTCTTGTGGCACATTGGTAATGTCCCTCCAGATAGATATAATAATATGTGAGCAGGTTGATTACAAACATATCTAGACCAATTGTGTAAGAGCTGGTGTGATGTGGTGGTAGTGTCCCTACCTCTAAGCCAGGAGGCCAGTTTCAAGTCCCACCTCCTCCAGAGGTGTGTCATACCGTTGCTGAACAGGTTGATTAAAAAGATCTAGTCAATATAAGCCCTATGTTATTAAACTAAAGCACTGTGGGCCCCACCACTATGAGAATATTCCATCCAAAGCAAAGTGATGAAATGTGAGTTTAATACAAATGTTGATGTTCAAATGTTCAGTCCATATTGTGCAGTGTTCACTGCTCACTGCAACCTCACCAACAGCTCAGAACATCACCAGAAATTCTACTGAACCTCTTCATCTGAGACCAATGAATGAAGACTTTAATCAGGCCCATATAAGGGTCCTCCACCTGCTGTATCTCTTCATGTAGAAAACTACTGCAAAGTAGCAGTCTCACTCACTGCCCAATCCATTGCATTCATTCAGTCATCCACTTGCAATTCTGAAACATTTCTCAGTCCTTTTCAAATAGATGAATGACTAAATTATAATATATAGTTCAACATTAGCTCAGGGATTTGAAATTAGTCGTGTGGGCATTTGGACCAGTCAGAGTTGGGCAGCGTATGTCTTGACAGTCCAGGAAGTTGGTTACAGTCAGCCCAGCAGGACCTGGTGCACACAGTCTAGGGACTCACGGTAAGTCTGTCAAGGAGCTGCAGAGAGATCACTCCAGGGTCTGGTCACTTATCAAGGCTCACCTTTCAAGTTGGTCATGGAAGTCTTGGTCAGTTCTGAACAATTACAAATCTTCTGTTACCCTCTACATTAGAGATAGAGTAACACTTGTTCAAACAGAGTTCTAATATGGCATGGTGCTAACGACAAGCAGCATACATAATTTGATTCTCGTAGTTGCAGCTACAGTGACATTTGATCAGACAGATATTGATGTAGATTGACAACAGATTTATGAATGTCAGCTTCTATTTGCAATAAAGTGTCAACCGTACGACTAAAAGGCCCTCAGAAGCCCTCCTCCCACTGTATATACTGTGAAGGGCTACTTATGTCAGGCAGTGTCTGATCCAGTGCATAACTGGACTTTAAAAATGGTACCAACAGCATGAATCATGGAAGGTCACGATAGTGACAAGTACTGCAGCCACTGGTGAACGAATGATAGCATAGCACCATAGAGGTACATACTAAGGGAAGCAACGTAAAATTGTGTGAGGTAGTAGGAACTGCCGATTCTGGAGTCTGAGATAACAAAGTGCAGAGCTGGAGGAACACATCAGGCCAGGCAGCATCAGAGGAACAGGAAAGCTGATGTTTCAAGACTGGACCCAGACCCGTAACGTCAGCTTTCCTGCTCCACTGATGCTGCCTGGCCTGCTGTGTTCCTCCAGCTCTGCACTTTGTAAAATTGTGTGAGATGGCTCACTAAGGTTTTCAGAGACAAACCCTCCAGGAAACTCCCCGAAATTGACATATAGCCGGGTTTGGTAAATTTCAATTCTTAGTTACAGATATAAGGGAGATAGGTTCCTGATTCTGACTGTAGTGTCTTCCTGTTCTTGGTTTAATGTTTGACAATGGCAATTGTTAATCATTCTAGATAAAAGCCAGCATTGATTTTTAGGGAAAAGTTGATGCAATTAAAGACCATAAGAAGTCGGAACAGGAGCAGACCACTCAGCGCCTTCAGTCCACTCTGCCCTTCAATATAATCGTGATCTAACATTCCTTATGTGCCCTTTCCTGCCCTTTCTCCATAATTGCTTTGGGGAGGGTGCAAAGGTGCTTTACTGGGATATTGCCTGGATTGGAGTTTTTTAGCTGTAAGGAGAAGTTGGACAAACTTGGATTGTGTTCACTAGAGCATCAGAAGCTGTGGGGTGATCTGATAGAAGTATGTAACATTATGAGAGGCATGGATAGGGTGGATAGTGGAAGTCTTTTTCCCAGGGTGGAAATGTCAATAAAGAAGCGACATAGGTTTACAGTGAGAAGGGGTAAGTTTAAAGGAGACCTGTGAGGAATGTAGACGCTTCCAGGAGAGGAGGTAGAGGCAGATACGATAGCAAGTGCTAAGAGGCATTCAGACACACGAACAGGCGGAGAATAGAGGGATATGGACCATGTGCAGGCAGATGGGATTAGTTTAGAATAACATCGTGGTTGGCGCAGACATGGGGTTCAGAAGGCCTGTTCCTGTGTTGTACTGTTCTATGTTCTAAGATCGGCTGAAGTATGGTCTCAGACTGGTTTCGCTGCTTTGTGTATCTCCTCAAGTGCCAGTTGGTGCTCTGACTGTCCATGTGATAATAAGCTGAGATTCAAGCCATAATCACAGCGCCTTGGCCAGTTACCATGTCACCACGATAGCTGAGCTTGCTCAGTGAACACATTGAATTATTTAAAAACAAAGAACTGCAGATGCTGGAAAGCTAAAACTAAAACAAAAATTGCTGGAGAATCTCAGCAGGTCTGGCGCAACTGTGAAGAGAGAAATGGAGTTAACGTTCTGAGTTTGGAAATTCTTCATCAGAAATTTTGAGTTCCTACTGTTATTGCATTCTGATGTCCCAATATCTCTTCCATAGCCATACGGATGGCAGATTGAACCCTTTAATTACATTGTCTTGGGATCACTAGCCGTGGCTGTCAATGGTAGTCTTGGTGCCCCAGCCCACACCCAGAGCTGTGCCTTGCTGGTTGGAAAAGAGTTGGATCACCTAGAAAATAGCAATTAAATCATGATTTAGCTGTACTTCTGGTGGCACTTGTTTGTGCACATTGGTCTTAAATAATTCCCTTCTCATTTTCTGCAAGGTGGCTGCTAACCCACTGCCCACATGTACAAGAATAGATTTGACAGTTAACATAACATCAAAACCAAAGCTCTAATTCAGGTATATGAACTGTACAGTGGTTACTGGTGAAGTAGTGAGCTAAATCTACTGGGGCAGGCAGCAGGAATGACTAAATGAGTACTTTGCATCAGTATCTATCAAGGGAGATGACTTTGCCAAAGTTATAGTAAATGAAAAGATGGCTGGGATGAGATCAAAATATATAAGAGATATCAGAACAGCTGGCTGTATCTAAAGTGAATTCATCCTTCATTCCAGATGTAATGGGATTGAGAGATGTAAGCATAGATATTATGGAGGTATTCAGCATGCTTTTCCAATCCTCTCCACAAACAGGGATAATGTCAAAGGACTATATGGCAATATAGTTAGAATGGCAAATGTTAGACACTCCAAGACTTTACAAAAGAAAATCAAAGAGCTATGGATGCTGGAAATCAGAAACAAAAACAGAAATTGCTCTAAAATCTCAGCAGGTCTGGTAACATTTAAGGAGAGAAAGCAAAGTTAACATTTCACTAGACCTGAAATAGTAACTCTGCTTTCTCTCCACAGATATAGCCAGACCTGCTAAGTTTTCCCACCAATTTATGTTTCTGCTCCAGGAATTACAACCCAATTAGTTTGACAGCAGTAGAGGAGAAATATTTGCTGCCAATAATACATGATGAAGGGGAGCCAACAGAAAGCACCAGCTATTAAAGGGGAGCTAACATACATTTTTAAGGGCTGTTTATTTGACTAACTTGCAGAGCTTTTTGATACTGTAGCAGGGAGGCTGAATGAGGACAATGCTATCTATCAAGACTTTCAAAAGTGGTTTGATAAAGCATCCTATATAATCCTGCTAACAAAATTAAAGCTCATGACATAAATGAGACCCTTGTACCATGGATTCAAATTAGCTGGGAAAAGGAAAGGAAGAGGTGGTGATGAATGGATAGTGTTCATTTGAGATATATATTTGGAACTCTTCCATAGTTCTTTTGATTTGGGAGTGATAAGAAGAATTGCAAAATTGCACAGACCACTGCACTGACAGGGGAAAACCTGGAAATTATAGCCAGTTAGCCTAACATCTGTGGTGTGTAAATTGCTAAAATCTGTAATTAATGGGAGGCTGACTGAACACCTTGAAGATTTCAGCCAACCAGAATGAGCCAGAGTAGGTTTGTAATGTAGTTGGGGTATGGA